GACCACCGCACCTGGCTAATTTACTTTTTTTTTTTGTAGACATGGGAGTCTTGCTGTGTTGTCTAGGCTGGTCTCGAACTCCTGGCATCAGGTCATGCCAATGCTGGGAGCCTTGGCCTTCCAAGGGCTGGGATTACAGGCCTGAGCCACTGTGCCCGGCCATAATGTCCACTTTAAAGGCAAAGAAATCACTGCAGCAAGTTGGATTGAGAACATTATCTCCATAAATGATGAAAGACATACAATTTGGCTGGATGCAGTGGCTCACACCTGTAATCCCAGCACTTTGGGAGGTTGGTGTGGGTTCATCAGAGTTCGAGACCAGCCTGGCCAACATGGTGAAACCCTATCTCTGCTAAAAATACAAAAAAATTAGCCAGCTATGGAGGCACAGGCCTGTAGTCCCAGCTACTTAGAGGCCAAGGCAGAACTGCTTGAACCTAGGAGGCAGAGGCTGCAGTGAGCCGAGATTGCACCCCTACACTCCAGCCTGGGCAACACAGCAAGACTCTGTCTCAGGGAAAAAAAAAAAAAAGACAATTTAAAATGAGATATCAGTGTATGCCTACATAACTGGAAAAGACTTGAATAAAATTAGAAAAGAACAAAAAAAGGACAGCATCCAATATTAGCAAGGAGGCAGAAACGAGAACTGGCTCCAGCTTTCTTGCGGGAGTGTGAACTGCCCCACTCCTAGAGGACAGGCCGACGATGTACAGCCTAGAGCCATAAACGGACGTTGAGAGTCTTTGACCCAGAAAGTCTAATTTCAGAAAATTTTCCTGTGGAAATAAGCATATGTGGACAAAGATTTATGTAAAACAATGTTCCTGAAAGTGCTATTTATAACACAGAAAAACCAGAAATGAAAATCTACGAATAAAGGAGCTGTTAAATCAATTCTGACAGACCATTATGCAACCATTAAAGCTGAAGCTTTTGAAATATCTTTTTGTTTTTGAGACAGAGTCTTGCTCTGTTGCTCAGGCTGGAGTGCCGTGGTGTGATTTTGGCTCGCTGCAACCTCACCCCCCAAGTAGCTGGGATTACAGGCACCCGCCAGCATGCCCAGCTAATTTTCATATTTTTAGTAGAGACAGGGTTTTGCCATCTTGGCCAGGCTTGTCCTGAACTCCTGACCTCATGATCTACCCACCTCGGCCTCCCAAAGTACTGGGATTACAGGTGTGAGCCACCGTGCCCGGCTGAAATATCTTTAATGATAGACTTACTGCCAGGTGAAAAAGACAGTGTATGAGGTGTGATTCCAGTATGTGCACACACAGTGAACAGACAAGGCAAATACATCAAAATATTAACAGTTATCCCTGGTTTGGGGACTGATTTTTGCTTTTGTCTTTATCCTTTAGTTACGTTAACATATAATAGGTTTGTTTTATTATTCTTAAATGAGTATTTTTAAAATGTCTTAGTTTTAATTTCTCCTATAGCAAATATTAATAGACATTACCCACATAAACAAAACCTCTTTGGAGTTCTATTTGTAAGGATGCCTGAGACCAACAGGTTTAAGGAATGAGAGTTGAAATCTAAACTGAGGCCGCCAATCCCAGCCCCTGTAAAATACGAGACAAAAACAATCCAGAGACATCCAGAGAAAATGCCAAACGAAACCAGAGAAACTGAAAAACAAAATCATAACAAAGTAATACAAACATATTAACCATAAAGATGGCACCTGGTAGTCTCTAGCAGCCTCTCCAGGCCCGTGGGAATGCGTCACATTCAGGAGCAGAGACCTCCAACCCAAGGTCTAGAGGCCATTTCTGAACCTCAAACTCCAAAATAATTTTGGGCACACTGGTTTTAACATTAGGTTTTTGTATTTCTTTGTCCTGTCTGTTGAAAACATGTTCAAGCTGCCTCAAGAGACGAAGGGAAGGCAGAGGCAGCCTCCGAGCGTCCTGGACGCTGGCTTTCAGGAGAGGCCGTGTTCCTCCTTGTCTCCCTCTCAGAGGAGTGGCCCGAGCACAGCATGTCACAGCTGTTCCACACGGACAGCATGCTTCTGCGTGTTCCCTGCCAAAACTGAAGCTCAGAGTTCACAGAACTACAACATACTTAGACTCTGATAGGCCAAAACCTGCAAGTATGCTAACGAGCATGTGAATAAGGACCAAGTTTACAATCCTTATTTTTGGGTTTCTATTATCTCCCCCATCTACCTCTGAATTCAGTGAACTCTGACCCTTGCTCATAATTGAGGTCCAGGGGGAAGAGAAAAGCCACCACCCTACGGTATTATGGGACAGAGTAGGTGTCAGCATCTCCATTCCTCAGGGATCTGGCCCGTGATGTGGCCCAGGGGTCACATAGCTGAACGTCAGGTAAGGAGCAGTCCTGACTTTAACAGCTGCTATTTTATTATTTGAAAAACGAGAAGAACCTGAAAATCCCCCTGCTTCCCAGTTACTTGCTTAAGGGTCCATGTTCTTTGGTTCATTCATACTTGATGGAGACTCACTATGTCAACTAGGCTGGAGTGCAGTGGCGTGACCTCGGCTCACTACAACCTCCACTTCCTGGTCCAAGTGATTCTCATGCTTCAGCCTTCCGGGTAGCTGGGATTACAGGCACTCGGCCACCATGCCTGGCTATTTTTTTTGGTATTTTTAGTAGAGATGGAGTTTCGCTATGTTGGCCAGGCTTGTCTTAAACTCCTGACCACAAGTGAACTGCCCGCTTCGGCCTCCCAAAGTGCTGGAATTATAGGCATGAGCCACTGTGCCCAGCCTGGTTCATTCATATTTGACACAAATCCAAAAGAAGGCCACGCTGCACCCTCTTCAAGAGCCTCTGTGGAAAGCTCTCATTTAACCCCAGGAAGGAGAACAGCTTACCTCTGGCATGATCTCGATCTTCTCGTACCGACGTTTGAAGGGCAGGGCGAGGACCTCGGCCCGCCGATAGGACATGGCGGGGGGCTGGCAGTCGATCATGAGGTCCATCCTGTGGGACTGGGCTGGAGGCGGCTGGGTGTACTGCTCAGGACACACAACATGCAGCGGCTGAGGAACCAATGGGACAGGCGAGAAAGGAGGTGTGAAATACAGTGGCCCCTGTGGAAGGCCCGATCTTGACCCGGATCCACTCCCCTCATCACAGGCTCACCACCTCCAGGCCAAGGAGAACTTTCATCCTCTCAAGCTCAAGCCCAACAAACTGCACAGGAGAGGGAATGTGAAGGCGCAGAAAAAACGTCTTGGAAACCCCTCAATGCCTCAGCCTGCATTTGTTTTCATTTTTTTCACTGTTTACATAATTTTCATGGTGACTTCCATGTGTCTGCTCCCAGAGATCTCTGAGCTTTCTGGGGGAACAGTCTTTCTAGAACATTCCCACAGGTCCGCTAGTATAAGCTCTTGGTTGCTTAGCAAGAGCTGCTGCTTTCAGTGTTGGGCTGGCGTTGTGGGTTTGGAGTTTCTGCTCGATCTGCAGGTCAGCTGGTCTTGGGCGGCGGGAGCTGCTCAGGTCATGAGCTCACTGTGTACAACCAAGACATAGAGACAGAGCTTTTTTTTTTTTTTTTTTTTTTTTAAACAAAATGTCTCCTTTGTTATCTTGAGAAGAAAAAGATTATAAACCAATTTTTACTTTCCACAAGTATCACCCAATTGAAAAGGAATGCTGGCAGCCCACGGGGCGCTATATCGCCCCTGCTTCTACTTAAGAGCTTGGGCCAAGCCCCGAATTCCCTGACGAACATGGCTTTCCACCAGGCTGACCAGGCTGAGCTTCCAGGGGCACCTGTTCCTTAGGGCTAATGCTTTTCTCCAAACTGCCCTGTGCTCCACTTCCCGATCTGGTTCACAGCATCTCCCACCACAACTGCGGCCTGAAGGCTTCTCCCAGGTTTTCCTCAACTAAAGTGGAGACCAGGAGGCCTCCAGTTTCCAGGATGAGCACCTGTTGGGGGTCAAGAACGGGTTTCAGGACTAGGATTTGTTAGTCATGGAAAGCAGCAGGCTCTCTGCCGCTGCTTCTAGCATGTGGATGAGCCTGCAGTGGTGGCGAATCACTGCAGACGGTGGCTCTCTACTCTCATCACACCTAGAGAGTGCAATGTTCTGTCTTCATTGGGAAGCATGTTAATAATCACCAGAATCCAGCCTCTGGGCTCTTCTGGGGTTCCCCTGATTTAAGAGTTTTGTCAAAGGGCCTCTCATCCTGAGGGTGAAGGGGCCGGGCCCCTTGGGCCCTCATGTCACTCCTGGAACACCGGGGGGTGGGAAGGGAGAGTGCGTAAGGATGGCATCCTTGTCAATTCCAGTTCCTCTCCTGCCTCTCAACAGCCAGAAACCTGTCGGGCGAGCAGGGGCTCAACCAGCACAGTGGTTCTGCAGCCCGCTTTCCTGCCATGCGCTCCTGTGATGGATTCTCCTGGGCTACACTTCACCCCGGCTACTTCCTCCCTTTCTCCAGGGCAGAACATGTGAAGTGAAACAAATACCAAAAACCACCACAAAGCCCAAACCCAAACCCAAACCCAACAGCGCTGCTCGCGGCACAGCCTACACGTGCAGCATGGTCTCTACGCGTTTCAACTAAACCGTCTCAGCTTAGTGAAAATGTTTCTAGAATGACTTTTTTTTTTTTTTTGGCAGGGGTGAGATGGTTTTCTTTCCCTTCCATTTCTGATTTCTTGAGAATGGAAACTTCTGTCAGGGTGTAAAGACCACTCCTTTTCGGTGGAGGGGAGCCGGCATGCGTCCCAGCATTATGCAGACGCGTGAGAACTGAAGACAAGAATGAAATGCAGCTAGATCTCCCTCCACTCACCCAACACACGACGGGCCACGCCCAGGTGCCAGGACCATGTGAAGGCACGAGCAGTGCCCTTCGTTACCTGCACTTCTTTAAGCAGCTTTGACACCTGGATGAAGTTCAGCCGGGTGTCAATGGGGCAGTAGATGCACTTCATGGCCAGCGGCTGGTAAGGAGCCAGGGCTTCCAAGTATGAGAAGTCCGGTTCTAGGGAAAGTGCAGGAAAGAAATATCACAATGCAGGCCACACAGGAGCTGTTGAGCCAGGCGGCGCTGGGGCACAGAGGGCCCAGGAGACAGTCCCGGGGTCAGGAGGGAGCCAGGAAGAACACACGGGGGACGGAGGTCAGGGGGACCCTGTGGAAGGACAGCCGGGCTGGGATGGACCCCGGGGGTGGGCTCCAAGCTTCAACAGAGGCAGATGAAGTAAATAAGGGAGAAAAATCTATGTGGGGGAGAAAGGAAAGCTCTTCTTCACAACGAAATGCCAAAACACATCAGTGATGAAATAAAAACCAAAATCATCCTGTGGCAACCATTACAGTTCACTACTTAGTCAGATGAGAATCATCAATAAATGCTGACAATATTAATACCATTTTGAGGGAGAACAGGATATATACATAGTTTCAAAGTGTCCCCCACAAGATACTGATTTAATATGATGAGAAAAGCGTGACTTCCCGGCGGAGAGGCCTGGCACAAACCTAGGGAACCTAGAATCAGCTCTGAGTTAATGCCCAGGTGTGAGAGGCAGCTAGGAGACGACCGCTCCCCAATTCCTAGGCTGTGAATGCTTCTGCAGACTGAGACCGCAGTGCTCCCCAGCAGGCCCAGCGCCTGCAACCGACCAACTGGGAAGGGTCCTCGCCCTCTGCTCGGCCTGTCTCCTGAGGGCCGCTGAGCCTGCTTGGCAAGGGACATTCCCCCCACTTGAGGGAGCTGCCTGCCTTGGGCCAAAAGACCTCGCTTGGTCCCGACTGATGTGATGCTTCGATTCCCAGTGCAGCTGTGCCCAGCGACAAGGGACCCTGGCTTAGGCTCACCTGCCACACAGACGTCTTCAGTGTCATCAGCACAAACTGGCAGTGCCAGGCACGTAAACGCCCAGCCCAGTGGATTGTGCTTCTCTGAGAATACTGACCCCCTTTTCATGTATCCAGGAGTCACAACAAAATAAAAAAGGTGGTCCCAACCTCTCCCGACACAATTTCTGCCCTGGGAGCCCCAGAAACCAGTTGAAACGCAAACCCATTACCCAGAGTTGTCACAGGAAACCACACAGTCCTGACTTCCTCTTAGCTGAAGAAAAATCTGTACTAAAGTAAGGTTACCCACTGTCTGTGTAGATGCAGTGACCACTGTCATGGCAAATGTCAAGAGTCACCACTCATCAGGAGAGTCCAACCTCAGCCCCACTATGTACAATATTCTCTGGACAACCTCCTGATGAATGACATCTGGGCAACAACAAAGTTCTGAGTGTTGTGAATCAGTATCTTGCGGTCCGCCTTTAGCCCAAAGCGGGTCTGAGAAGAGGAAAGCTGTCCTGGTGACCAGGCCCTCTCCTGGCAATTTCTGCCCAGCCTGGTATCAGCAAGAGCTGGTTTGGCACCCACAAGGCCAAGTGTCCTCGTGCTGTGCGAACACAACTTCCTGGAACACCAACGCCTTGTCTGACCACGATGGACCCAGCCGAAAACCAGACCCTCCGCAATCATCCTAAACACACGACACAGAGCTGTCGCGACCACAGCATGAGTGAACCCCATGCTATGTCGTCTCCATTCTTCCTGTGTTCTAGGTAAGAATGAGTTCAGAAAGCCATCGCAGAATGACCCTGCCTCCTGACAGCACCCAATACAGGGTGATGTCTCACCTCCGTGAACCCCCACACATCACCAAATGCCAGGCTGAGTCCCATGAGGTCTTTTCCCAGGCTTCTACCCATGGTGTGTGTTCCCCTTGCTGCAATGAGCCAATAAACCCAACTTGGTTAGACTATCGGTGTGTTCCTGGTGGCTTCTAGGTGAGAAACAGAGGCTGAGGGAAGATCCAAAGTGTCCCTGATCCCCTGTGCATCTGGTGTCACTAGATTCCCTCCTCCAAACCCAGCTCCTAACGCTAGGGAGAGAAGCGGCCACGATGCTTTCGCAATAGCCACGATGTGCCAGGTGCCATGCCTGGTGCCCAGAGTGACCACAGAGGTAGCTACTGACAGTCTCATTTACCGGGGGGACAGTCAAGCTTGCTGGTGAATTGGCTGAGGTCACTGCAAGCTGGGCCAGATTTTTTTTTTAACTTCAGAGCCTCTAAGATTTCCAAAATCCAAGGCTCACTGAAGACCCTAACCCATGGGTGTCCAAGCTTTTGGCTTCCTTGGGCCACAGCGGAAGAACTGTTTTGTGCCATAGACAAACCACACTAACACTAGTGACTGCTGATGAGCTAAATAAAAAAGGTCAGAGCGTAATTTGCATGATAACCCCCACCACAGATAAGCAAAAAAGTCCCTGGATTCAAAGGGCCAGGCGCTGCACTGATAAAATGATGCAGAGATTATCTAAGTAAGCCCTCTACTTGACCTTATCAAAGGAATGTTTTCTCCTGAGGGATTTGTCTCCAGAAGAAAATCCACAGCCAGAGCAAACTACAATCAGAAGAGAAAGATCTACAACTGTAAACAATTCCTAACAGGTAAAACAAGATGGTTACGGAATCACTGCAGTTCTTGAAATGGCTTACAGTATGCTAGCAAAGCACTCAGCAGGATTCTCTTTCACAGAAACCTGCAAACACAGGCATGAAAGCCTCGCTGGATGCCCAGCTGGCCAATGGCATACACTGCTTCACTCTTTCTCCTGCGTTTCTTCATTCTTTGGTACCGACAGTAGAACAATGTTCATATGTATGCCTCACTGCAAAAGCCTTCCCTGGGTCCCTATCTTGTAGGTGCATTCACTAATGGCTTCGGTGCAGCGAACTGTTTTATTTTTTTTCACTTGCCTGTGAATATAACAGTGTTGAGACTAGATTTTCCCCAGAGCTCCATGAAGTGGACCACGTCCCCGAAGCGGAGGGAAGGGTGCCCGGTGAACACCACACAGGGCTGTCTGAAGTCATTGCTGAAGTCTCCGTGGATGCTGGGGTAATGCTTCAGTTTATTGGTCTGAATGAGCTGGAAAACAGCAAAAGTAAAAAGAGATGTGAGCCTGCCCAGGCTGAGGGGGAACCAAAGCGCTGGAGGGTGAGCAGGATTGGATTTAAAATACTAACAAAGACGACAAGCCACGGACTGAGAGAAAATATCTGCAGAAGACACATCTGAGAGGGGACTGTGACCCAAAATGTACGGACTCTGAAACCTCAGCACAAGAAATGAACAACCCTATTAAGAAGTGGGCAAAAAAACCTGAACAGAACACCTCATCAGAGAAGACAGATGGCAAACAAGCATATGAAAAAATGCTCCACACCACGTGTCATTAGAAAACTGGAAATTAAAATGACGAGACACCACTACATACCTATTATGATAGAATGGCCAAAATCCAGAACACTGAGAGCACCAAATGCTGGCAACGATATGGAAGAACAAGGACTCTCTTTCACTGCTGGTGGGAATGCAAAGCGACACAGCCACTTAGAAAGATATGTTGAAAAATTATGTCCACAGGAAACCTACACATGAATGTCTTAATTGCTAAAACTTGGAAACAACCAAGATGTCCTTCAGCAGGTGAATAAAACTGTGACATATCAGATGATGGAATATTAGTCAGCACTAAAAAAGAAATGAGCTACCAAGCTATGAAAAGACATGGAGGAAACTATTCCTAAGTGAAGGGTGCCCGCCACACTGAAAAGGCAAAACCATCCAGATAGTAAAAAGCACAGCAGTCACCAGGGATTTGTGGAGGGTGAAATGAACAGGCTGAGCGAAGAGGATCTGCAGAAGGAGGAAGCTACTCTGTGATGATGTAATGGTGAATCCAGGTCACCGTCCACGTGTCCAAGCCCACAGAAGGCACAACACCAAAAGGAACCTGCAATGTCAACTCTGGGCTTTGGGCGAGTGGCGTGACAATGTGGGCTCATCAGCCGTAGCAAACGCACCTCTCTGGTGTGGGATGGTGACGGTGGGCAGATGCGTGTTGGGGGGGGGGGGGGGATATTACTCACCCTCTGGGGGGCGCAGGGGCGTATGACTGCGGTGAACCTAAAACTGTTCTGAAAAATAACATGTATTAATTTAAAAAATACAAGTGAATCTTATTAAAATTAGTTTTTACCTATAATGTGATTTTTGGAACACATGGGCAAGTCAAGTCTTTCTGGTAATATTGACACACTTCCTGGAAACTTACTCAGATTGTTACGGCCTGACTTAGCCGGACTCTTCCTTTATAAGCTGCCTGGTACTCCACACCCGGCCTAAAGTCTTCACTTCCTGTTTGAAGTACAAGTGACTTTCCCAACACTCGTGAATCACTAAGTCCTGGCGACAGTAAACACATCTGTCACACCAGAAACACTGTTTACCAGTACAGGACCTCTTCCTTGAAGCCAGAGCTATGTTAAGCTACTGCAGCAACTGAATAGGGACCAAGACAAACACTGTCCTTTCACGATCATTTCTGTTGTCTGCTACAAGAAAAGCTTCTCCGAATGTGTACAGCACGTGCACTATGCACCCATTCACACACGTGCACGACAAAGATCAAATTGGCTTTTAGAAATTGATGTTCTCATAACACAGACAGCTATATTAAGACGCAGGGGCCAGGCACAATGGCCACGCCCATAATTCCAGCACTTTGGGAGACCAAGAAAAGAGGATTGCTTGAGCCCAGAAGTTTGAGACCAGGCTGGGCAACAAAGCAAGACCCCGTCTCTACAAAACATAAAAAAAAGTTAGCTGGATACTGTGGCGTGCACTCACGAGTTCAAGGTTGTAGTAACTGTGATTGTGCCACTGTATTCCAGCTTGGGTGACTGAGTGAGATCCTGTCATGAAAAAAACAAAAATTAAGGCTGGGTGCGGTGGCTCACATCTGTAATCACAGCACTTTGGAAGGCTGAGGCAGGTAGATCACGAGGTCAGGCGATCAAGACCATCCTGGCCAATATGGTAAAACCCTGTCTCTACTAAAACTACAAAAATTAGCTAGGCATGGCGGTGCGTGCCTCTAATCCCAGCTCCTCGGGAGGCTGAGGCAGAAGAATCGCTTGAACGTGGGAGGCAGAGGTTGCAGTGAGCCGAGATCGCACCACTGCACTCCAGCCAGAGTGACAGAGCGACGCTCCATCTCAAAAAGAAAAAAAGTAAAAAAGTAAAAATAAGTACAAAGCAGGTGACACACAGCCTGAAAGCTTTCTTTAAATGTATGGTTTGAACCAAGAGTCTCCCCTGCAGCCCAACACTTGACAGTAATCTCTCAGTGTCAGGCCCACTTCAAGGTAACACCAAAGACAGTCACGACGAGATGGCATCTTGGAACGCTTCTCAGACACTGTGCCTGGCGCCCAGGCATCTCTAACCCACTCCAGCATCCAGAGTGCAGACTCCGAGACTTCACAGACCCTAAATCTCAACCAGGCCAAAGAAGCACTGCCCTGAGATACTCTTTTTTTTTTTTTTTTTTTTTTT